AAGAGTGGGGGAAAGGAAGTTATACTAGACAAAAAAGAGGATTGGTTATGGCAAGATCACTTTCCTTTAAGGGATGGAAAGGGTCTATCAGGTAGATCACTCAACGACTGCTGATTAGGCAATGTCTGACTGACTGGTTTAAGATTCCAGTTTTGGGAGAGCCAACACTAAGTTAAGCCTCAGTTTGGTTGCATGGAGCTCAGCATAAGTGACTCCACTGAGGCCTGTTGTCTTGTTTTTAACAAACCTTTAGTAAGAAATAAGATTTTGCAGCCACACAGACTAGCTAAGGGCTTCTCTCCTTAGCAGTGAAACTGCTCTAGTCTGAAAACCAAGGGATCCCACATGGTCATCAGAGAGACTGAACCAGAAAACATGTTATACTATAATGGTCTCATTTTATAGAGAGGATAGAGTAAATTACTCCCTATAATTCTCTGCAGAAAAATTTGGGAGGGAGCAAAGGAGAGAATTATCATGACTTTTTATGTTCCTGAGAAGAGATATGCTCTGCAGGTACAAAAATCATATTTATACACACTTTTCTTTCAGATTTGTTTATTTTTAAAGCTGATTCCAAGAGATGGGAAGATTGGTAGATTTAAAAGAGGAAAATATTGCTATTGGTAATTTCTCCACTTATAAAATTAAATGCTGGGTGAGTGCAGCTTCTGTTTTGGACAGAAATTATTTTTTAAGTTTCCATAAATAAAAGTTTCCATATTCTTTTTAAAAGTACAACATAATATGTCAATGACCCCACCACTATTACCACTTACTTTGATTAGAATGGGTCCTGAGAATTCCTCCCTCCTACCTTTGTGATTTCTAATTAATTGTTCTTTCTACCAAACCTTATAGTCTTGAAGGAAAAATAATGATGCTATTTAAAAATGACCAGAAATGAATGCTATGGGGAAGCATTGGTATTACATATATACCACATTCATCCTGACTTGGATATATGATAGGACCAGCCTTGTTCAAATTCTGAAGAGTATACAATGTAGGGCACCTGGGTGGCTCAGTGGGTTAAGTGTACAACTTTGGCTCAGGTCATGATCTCATGGTTCGTGGGTTCAAGCCCCACATTGGGCTCTGTTCTGACAGCCAGCTCAGAGCCTGGAGCCTGTTTCAGTTCTGTATCTCCCTCTCTGACCCGCCCCTGCTCATGCTGTCTCTCTCTCTCTCTCAGGAAAAAAAAAATTAAAAAAACTTTAAGAGTATACAATGTAAATGTCAAAGAAAGAGAAATTCTCAATGTGTACTTTACAAATTAATGGATAATATAAGAATAAAGAACCTAATAGATGTAAAGTGGTCTGTAGATATTTGTTGAATAAAAGGAATTTAAACTCCAGACATGTGTGCCCAATACTTTTAAAAAGACAACTTTTGGGAACACCTGGGTGATCAGTCAAACATCAGACTTTTTTTTCTTTAATTTTTTTAGTGTTTTATTTATTTGAGAGAGAGTAAGAGAGAGAGAGAGAGAGAGAGCACGGGAGGGTCAGAGAGAGAGGGAGACACAGAATCCAAAGCAGCCTCCAGGCTCTGAGCTAGCTGTCAGCACAGAGCGCAACACGGGGCTCAAACCCACAAACCGTGAGATCATGACCTGAGCCAAAGTTGGACACTTAACCCACTGAGCCACCCAGGCACCCCCCATCAGACTCTTGATTTCTGCTCAGGTCATGATCTCAACAGTTCATGAGATCTCCAGTCTCAGTCTCATTCTCATTCTCTCTCTCTCTCTCTTGAAAATAAATAAATAAACTTAAAAAATAAAACGCCAACTTTTGGAAGGGAATTTCTTTTAATATACACTAGTGAAAAACTTAAAGTGAAATTGACATTTTGGCTTTTGGTTTCAGTAGGAAGCCCCTCAGGTAGCTCAGCCAGGAAAGATTTAGATTTCTAAAATCCTGGTATTCCAGGCCATGTAGTAAAGTGCTATTCTATAGATGCTATGTCCTGAAGTGAGCCAGGATCCTATTTGTTTCTTCAAAGACATCAACTTTCATTTGTTTAATACTGACCCCTATATTATCTACTCAGAGTTGTCTACTATCATATTTTGGTCTTTATATACAGCCGTCTCTGTTTAGACTAGGAGCAAAGTTGTTCTGAAGATTCTAATCTATTATATTGTTTTATTATTGAAGGCAAAACTCCACTCAATGACTTTAAGTGTGTGTTTTCTTTTATTTATCACTGGTTGTGAACAGAACTCTAGAGTGCAGGCCCAGTTGTTATTAACTTCCAGTGACCTTGCATGCTCCAGCTTTTCCCCCTACACACTTCGATTTTCTCCATCTGTAAATAAGATGGGTCACATGACCTTGCATTTAGCAATCGTTTCTTTTTTTTTTTTAATTTTTTAATGTTTTACTTATTTCTGAGAGAGAGAGGCAGTGTGAGCAGGGGAGGGTCAGAGAGAGAGGGAGACAAAGAATCTGAAATAGGCTCTACGCTCTGAGCTAGCCATCAGCACAGAGCCCAACGCGGGGCTCGAACCCACGAACCATGAGATCATGACCTGAGCTGAAGTCAGATGCTCAACTGCTCAACTGACTGAGCCACCTAGGCGTCCCGGCAATAGTTTCTTAAATATGACACCAAAAGCACAGACAAGAAAAGACTAAATAGACAAACTGGACTTGACTAAAATTAAAAACTTTTGTGCATTAAAAACACACCATCAAATGAGTAAAAAAACAATATGCAGAATAGGAGAAAATATTTGCTAATCATATATCCAGAGTATATAAAGAAGTCCTATATACACTTCAATAATAATAATAAATAAATTTTTAAAAAATGTTTAAAAACTCCTACAACTCAATAGTTCAAAAATGGGCAAAGGGGGAGCCTGGGTGGCTCAGTCGGTTAAGCTCAGGTTATGTTCTCACAGTTCATGGGTTCGAGCCCCACGTCAGGCTCTGTGCTGACAGCTAGCTCAGAGCCTGGAGCTTGCTTTGGATTCTGTGTCTCCCTCCCTCTTTGATCCTCCCCTGCTCATGCTATCTCTATCTGTCTCTCAAAAATAAATAAAACATTAAAAAAAATTTTTTTTAATGGCAAAGGACTTGAATGGAAATTTCTTCAGAAAATATATAAAAAATGACCAATAAGCACATGAAAAGATGCTCAACATCCTCGATCATAAGGTAAATGCAAAACAAAACTACAATAAGATAATATTTGACACCTACCAGGATAGCCATATAAACTAAAGACAAAGATCTGAAAGTAAGAAGTGTTGGTGAAGATATGGAAAAATCAGAACCCTCATACATTGCTGTTGGTAATATAAAGTGGTCCAGCTACCATAGAAAACAGCATGGCAGTTCCTCAAAAGTTTGAAGCATAGAATTACCACATGATCCATCAATTCCACTCCCACATATATACTCAAAAGTACTTAAAGCACAAAGACAAATACATGAATGAAAGTGTTTATAGTTGAATTCATAATAGCCAAAAGGTAGGAACAACTCAAGTGCCCATCAACTGATGAATGAATAAACAAATTGTGGTATATCCATACAGTACAGTATTATTCAGCCATGAAACAGAAAGAAGCAATTATATGAGCTACAACATGGGTGAAACTTGAAACCATTATGCTAAAAGAAGCCAAACACCCAAAGGACAAAAGTGCTTAATTCCATTTATGACATGGGAAATACCAAGAATAGGTGAATTCAAGAAACAAAAAACAGATTAATAGGAGAGGGTAATGGGGAGTTATCACTTAATAGGTAATTTCCCTTTAGGGTGATGCCAAATTTTATAAATAGATAGTAGTGAAGATTACACAACATTATGAACGTCATTAACTTAATGCCACTGTATTTTACATATAAAAATGGTTAAAATGGGGGATGCCTGGCAGACTCAGTCAGTGGCGCATGAGACTCTCGATCTCTAGGTTGTGAATTCAAGCCCTACTTTTGGTGCAGGGATTACATAAGAATAAAATCTTCTAAAAAACTAGTTAAAATGGAAAACTTTGTTATTTACATTTTTCCACAACTAAGGAAAAAAAAAAAGAGCTGGTCCTAAAATCAGTTAATCTCTAAGAAGGGCGGCTATGTAAGTCCCAGAACAACCCACAATTGTAACTGTTGTACCCATCGTTAATTATTAATGGTATCCTCTTACGCTCTGAAAGCTGTCTAGTTTTTATAATAAATTATACTGTCATCCTATCTCTAAGGATCTCTAATTTTCAATGGTTCTGAGATCTAACGACGGGCATTAGGACCTTGGAAAGGTTTTCGTGATGACATAATCTCTAGAAAACTAAAACCCACCGGCCTCCGGGGAACTGGAGGCAGCGCAGGAGACGTGGGCACTTCATACGAGCGCCCAGCTCCCAAGTGGTCGATCACTTTTTCCTTTGGGTTCCCAAAGCGCACGGCGGAGAAACACCGGGAGAATAGAGCACTGGTGGATAGAGCCAACGGCCCCACCCTCCTCCACCCCGCCACTCTCAGCATGGCTGCCCCTGTGGAAGTGGGCGAGGGAGCGTCCCACCTCTCTCAGGCCCCAGAGGGGCGGGCCCCGGAAACCAAAGGGTTTTCAGCGGACCAGTGGGGAGAGACTTGGAGCCGGAACTAGCGAGGGCGTCGGTGGAGGGCAGCGGCGGTTTCTGGGGCCAGGCTGGCCTTGAGCGCCTGTTGTCGCTGCCACGTTATCCCCAGCTTTTGCTGCCGGATTTTGCCCTGTTGGATGCTATCGTCAGCGCTTCCGGTTTGAACTCCAGCTGAGTTGATCAGTCTCCACCCTATTCGGTGATTGACTCTCCTCTTCAAAGCCCGCCCTAGTCAAAGCCCAGCTGTCCCTCCCACTTCTGTAAGATGGTTTATGTCAACATGCCAACTCTGAGACAAATTGACGACTCCAGGTGTGGCCTGACGCTTTTTAACTTAAAATATTTTTTTCCTGGATTATAAAAATATATGTATAATTTAAAAGATTGTGATAAAACAAAAATGACATTACTCCATCAACCAGAATCGATCAAGGTTAGAGTTTGTCGCTTTTTTTTTTTTCAAATTGTGTTTTAACACAATTGGAACAATGCTGCATAAAATTATCTACGGCTTGTTACGTTCTAAGTATTTTTCTTCGTCATTTTAATTAATGCATAATATAAACTATTCTATGGATGAATGAGCCGTAATTTTCATATTTCCCCAACGAACTTTTTTCAATTTTTAAAAATGTTTATTTATTTTTGACAGAGAGAGAGACAGAGCGTGAGCGGGCAGAGGCAAAGAGAGGGAGACCTAATCCTAAGCAGGCTCCAGGCTCTGAGCCACCCAGGCACTCATTCCCCAATGGCTTTTTAAACACTTGGAACTTTAACTGAATAGCCAATTGGAGGTGGGGCAGGTAGAGGAGACATAGCTAAGAGCTGGCTATTCTACAAATTCATCTTTCTTCCCTTTGTAAGTTGTTCCACAAAAATTCGATTTTAGAGACTTCTGAGATTTTACAGTCTTGGGGTTCTAGAGTATTACAGTCTTGAGAAACTCAGGATCATTAAATCTCAGAGTGGTAAGGGTTCTGAAGAAACAAATCGAAACTTTCACCAAAGGTAGGAGTATCCAGAGTTGGAAGGCCTGGCTTTCTCTTAGCCAGACTTGAATAATTTATTCACTTGGACTGAGCCTTAGTTTCTTCATCTATAAAATGAAAATAACAACCACAGAATTGTTCTTTAACTGGTTACAGTCTACTGTGGCAGAATAAAGGAATCCATGGCCGTTAGAGATGAAAGGACTTAGGAATTTACACACACACACACGTTTACTTATTTTTATTGAATATATGTATAACAATGAATATATTTATTGGATTATATATATAACTGGATTAAAAAAGAACCACTTCTAGATAAAGAAGATAAGAGTTTGGGAGGGTAGCCCCATTCACTTGGCCTTTTCCTCAATCTTAGAGCTACTAATGTATCACCCTCCTTTTATAGATTTTGATACATATTTGGGTACAGATTTGAGGTGTATACAATAGAAATTACTTTCTCTATGTCACATATTGGTAATTTTTCTTAATGTTTATTTATTTTTGAGAAAGTAAGAGACAGAGTATCTAAAACAGGCTCTGTACTGACAGCCCAGAGCCTGATGTGGGGCTTGAATTGACATACCATGAGATAATGACTTGAGCTGAAGATGGACACTTAACCAACTGAGCCACCCAGGCACCCCTAGTTTTTCATGATCTCCAGAATGGTGGTCTTTCCTTGAACCAATATAAGAGTGTATATAAAAGGCTGAGATTGCAGGAAAAAAATCATTAACACCAAAGGATAAGTAGGTAACAGACATGAACAGGCAATTCGCAAAGAAAATACAATTAAATAACAAAGCATGGGGGAAAGGTTCAACCATACTAGAAGCCGAAAAAGAAAACACAATTTATGAACTACCAATTCTCAAAGATTTAATTTTATTGAGATATAACTGATAAATAACATTATATTAGTTTCAGATATATAACATAATGATTCAGTATATGCATATATTGTGAAATGATCACCGTAAGTTTAGTTAACATCCATCACCGCACATAATTATAAATTTTTTTCCTTGTGATGAGAACTTTTTTTTTTTTATTTATTTCTAGGAGAGAGAGAGAGAGAGAGACAGCGTGAGCAGGGGAGGGTCAGAGAGAGAGGGAGTCACAGACTCTGAAACAGGCTTCAGGCTCTGAGCTGGCAGTCAGCACAGAGCTCAACGGGGGCTCGAACCCACGAACCACGAGATCATGACCTAAGCGAAAGTCGGACACTCAACCGACTAAGCCACCCAGGCGCCCCATGTGATGAGAACTTTTAAGATACACTATCATAGCAACTTTAAATATACTGATAGCATTATTAACTATAGTTACCAGGCTATACATTACATCCCTAGGACTTACTCATTTTGGAACTAGAGGGTTTTTTAAATGTTTATTTATATATTTTGAGAGAAAGTGTATATGTATATGCTCCTGCACTAGTGGGGGAGGAGCAGAGAAGGGAGAGAGAGAATCCCAGGCAGGCTCTGTGCTATCAGCAGAGCAGCAAATGGGCACCCCCATTCACAAAGATTTTTGATATACTTTCACAAAATATACATTAAAAAAGAATTTAGATTTTTACTTAACCAAATTTGGAAAGTTTTCAAATATATTAATATTCAATGCTTATGAAGATGTGGCAAAAACAGGATTTGGTGCCTGTGAACTAAAGTTTGGCAATACTTTCAAAAGTCTCAAAATGAATCTATCTAGAACTAATTCTGCTTTTCATGATAACTATCATATAAAAGTAATCTTAAATATGAACATTTAGTATAATCTACAATACTGGGACACCTGAGTGACTCAGTTGGTTAAGCATTGGACGCTTGATTTTGGCTGTGGTCATGATCTCACGGTTCCTGGGATCAAGTCCTGCGTAGGGCTCTGCCAGCATGGAGCCTGCTTGGGATTCTGTCTCTCCCTCTCTCTCTCTCTCTGCCTCTGTTTGCGTGTTTGTGCTCTCTCTCTCTCAGAATAAATAAATAAACTTAAATAAATAATAATAATCTGCAGTATTGAAAGTAAACAATTTAGGATCCAAGGATACATTTTTTTTTAAAGATACTCATTTTCTTTTTCTTTTCTTAAGTTTATTGATTCATTTTAAGTGAGACAATGCAAGCAGAAGAGGGGATAAAGAGAGGGGGATCTGAAGCAGTCTCTGTGCTGACAGCAGAGAGCCCAATGTGGGTCTCCACTCATGAATGATAAGACCATGACCTGAGCTGAAGTTAGACGTTAACCGACCAGGTACCCCCAATGATACATTTTTATAATAGAATCTTATGCAGCTACAAAGTGAATTTGCAATGAGTTTTTAATTTTTAATTTTTTTGGATTTTATTTATTTATTTTAAATGTTTAATTTTAAAAGAGAGAGAATGAGCAGAGGATGGCAGAGAAAGGGTGGGACAGAGGATCTGAGGCAGGCTCTGTGCTGACAGAGATGGGCCTGATGTGGAGCTTGAACTCACAAACTGTGAGATCGTGGCCTAAGCCAAAGTCAGATGCTCAACTGACTGAGCCACCCAGACTCCCCTTTAGGATTTTATTTTTAAGTAATCTTTACACCCAACGTGGGACTTGAACTCAACTCTGAGATCAAGAGTCCCATGCTCCACTGACAGAGCCAGGCAGGTGCCCCTGCAATGAGTTTTTAATGAACTAGGGAAATGTTTATGTCAAAATATACTGGAAACAAAATTGCCTCAAATTGTATGCAGACTGTATAAAACTATTTTTTTAAATTTTTATTTATTTTTAAGAGATAGAGACAGAGTGTGAGTGGAGGAGGGGCAGAGAGAAGGAGACACAGAATCCAAAGCAGGCTCCAGGCTCTGAGCTATCAGCACAGAGCCCAGTGTGGGGCTTGAACTCATGAACCATGAGCTCATGACCTGAGCCAAAGTCAGATGTCCAATGGACTGAGCCACCCCAGGCACCTCTAAAACTGTTTTCAGAGATATGGATAAAAGAGAAATAGAATAGGGTGCCTGGGTGGCTCAGTCGGTTAAGCGTCCAACTTCAGCTCAGTTAATGATCTCACTGTTCATGGGTTGAGCTCTGTGTCGGGTTCTGTGCTGACAGCTAGCTCAGAGCCTGGAGCCTGTCTTTGGATTCTGCAAAGACTGAATGGATTGCACACGTAGCTGCCTTGTAAGTGTTTCTTTGTACCCTTCCTTCTTACAGCCTTCTATGATTTCACTAAGCACCCAAGCTTCACTCTTGCAGGCTCTTTCATCATCCTTTCTCCCTTTCTCCAGGGTTAGGTAATTCCTGCTCACTGGGCCCAGCCCTGCACAAGCAGAAAATTCCTGTAAAGTGTAGGCTGGTGAGTCAGCATCATTCCCTTCTGGCTTTTCTTTGGTAACCAGCTCTCTTTTACCTCTGGCCTTTTATCTTTTTTTTTTTTTCTTGTATGATTTTCTTTGTACAAAACAATCCCGAAGAATAGAAGCTGAGAAGTTCTCCTGAAGCTAAAATAGTTCTCAATTGGAGGTAGCTTAATGCATATATTTTTACTTTAGCCATAAACTAGAGCTATTCGGCAACTTGAGAAATTTTTCATTAACAGGTACCATAGAATTACTACTTTAAAGGAAGTTTAATCTGAGATCAAACGTATTCTTCAAAAGGGCCTCCCTTTATTCTATCTTCTTTCCTAAGACTTTCTCTGATGTGGTTGTGCTGAGGACTGGAGCAGGGTTTTTTTTGTTGTTTTCTCTTTTGTTTTTTAAGCTTTTATAGAAGATTGACTTGTAAAAATAAAGCCAGAAAGGCAAAGTTCTTCCGTGTTTTTTTGGTGGTGCAACATCTTGGAGAAATCTAAACTCCATAATTATCTCTAAGAACTTTTAAATATTCTTTCATTCATTATTTCATTCAATATTTACTGGAGCCTCTTTATGTTCTATGACCTGTGCTAAATTATAGGGATTCAAAGAAAAATGAAGAATCCTCCTTTAAGACTATACTGTTCAAGACTAAGTATAAGGTGAAGTTGGGTCTCTTGGCTGGCCCAATGGGTAGAGCATGTGGCTCTTGATCTCAGGGTTGTGAGTTCCTGCCCCACACTGGGTATAGAGATTACTTAAAAATTAAAAAAAAATCTTGGGGCACCTGGGTGGCTCAGTCAGTTAAGCGTCCGACTTCGGCTCAGGGCATGATCTTGCAGTTCGTGGGTTCGAGCCCCGCATCAGCTTCTGTGTCGACAGCCAGCTCAGAACCTGGAGTCTGTTTCAGATTCTGTGTCTTCCTCTCTCTCTGACCCTCCCCTGCTCACGCTGTCTCTCTCTCTCTCAGAAATAAATAAAACATTAAAAAATCTTAAAAAAAGATAAAGTAGACAAATATTGGGAGATGGAGACTCCTGGAGGGGGAGGGGAAATTTATAAGGCTAAAGAAGTTGGTGCTTCAGTGCACTTAGCCTCCATTCTTATCTGGGAAAAGACCTCACTGTGAGTTCCTCACTAAAGTTGCTTGTGGCCCGAATTCATGTGTACTGTAAATGCCAGTTTGCCAAGTGTTGTTTGAGATTTAGGGTTGGCAATGGGAGCATCTCAGCACTTCTAGTTTGCTTTTAATGTAGTCGACCATTAGAAGGAACAAGAAATATATTGTCATTACCCTGTTTTGGGCCATGTACAAGTTGTTCAAGTTTAAGCAAGCCACCTATCTTCTTCCCTTTGGTTTTTTATCTACAAAGTGAGAAAACTTACCTATCATAATTTTGATAAAATTGCATAATGTCCATGTAAGTTGCTTGAAAAGTACAAAACAATAAACACAATAATATCTCTGTTAATCTTTGAGGTGAAAAAATTACTCCTTTAAAAATGTTCACAATCTAGTGGGAAAGATATATAAGTGGGCAAATAGTGTGTTGAGAGAGTGACCTTGATGTGGGGGAGGGGCTGAGGGAGAGGAGAAAAAGAGAATCCCAAGCAGGCTCCTTGCTGACCATGCATAGCCCAGTGTGGGGGTTGGTCTCACAAACCTGAAAGATCATGAGCTGAGCATAAACCAAGAATTGGAGGCTTAACCGACTGAGCCACCCAGATGCCCCAATAATTTTCTTAAAGTTTGTTTGTTTGTTTTGAGAGAGAGAGAGCAGGGAGGGGCAGAGAGAGAGAAAGAGAAAACCCCAAGCAGGCTCTGTATTGCCAGCACAAAGCCTAAGGTAGGGCTCAAACTCAGGAACCTTAAGATCATGACCCTCGCTCAAAGAATGAATCAGATGCTTAACCGACTGAGCTACCTAGGTGCCCTGCTTCAATCATTTTTTTTTTAAGTTTATTTATTTATTTTGAGAGAGAGAGCATGGGAGGGGCCTTCCAATTTTATCTGTGTGGTAACAAGTGACAGGATTTTCTTCTTTTTAAGGCTGGTATAACATTTCATTATATATTTGCTATTTCTACTGTTTTCCATTGTGGATATATGTAACAATTTACATTCCCACCAACAGTGTGCAAGGGTTTCCTTTTTTTCCTTTTTTCCACATCCTTGCCAAAACTTAGCTTTTGTCTTTTTGATAATAGGCATTCTAACAGGTGTGAGGTAATATCTCATTGTGGTTTTGTCTTGCATTTCCCTGATGGGTAGTGATGTTCAGCATCTTTTCATTTACTGTTGGCCATTTTTGTGTCATCTTCTGAGAAATGTCTATTCAGGTCCTTTGCCCATTTTTAAAATTATTGATTTATAATTGACATACCATGTTATAATAGTTTCAAGTGTACAACATATATATTGATTTAACACTTCTATATATTAGTCAGTGGTCACTATGGTAAGTGTAATTACCATCTGTCACCATACAAGGTTATTACAATATTATTGACTATGTTCCCTATGCTGTACTTTTCATCTCCGTGACTTATTTTATAACTTAAGTTTGTACCTGTTAATCCTCATTTATTTTGCCCACCCCTCCCCATCTCCCCTCTGGACCACTGATTTGTTCTCTGTATTTAAGAATCTGTTATTTTGGGTTTTTTTTAGATTCTACATACAACATATGGTATTGTCTTTCTCTTTCTGACTTATTTCACTTAACATAATATCCTCTAGGCCCATCCATGTTGCAGCAATTACCTTTGCCCATTTAAAATAGAGTACTACTGGGGTGCCTGGATGGCTCATTTGGTTGAGTGTTGGCTCTTGATTTCAGCTGAGGTCATGAGCTCATGGTTCGTGGGATCAAGCCCCATGTCCAGCAGTGCCCTGACAGTGCTGAGCCAGATTGGGATTTTCCCTCTCTCCCCCTCTCTCTTTCCCTCCCCTGCTCGGGCACGTGCATGTGTGCACACAAACTTTCTCTCAAAATAAATAAGTAAACTTAAAAAAATAATATTGAGTGCTATTGAGTTGAATTCCTTGTATACTTTAGACTTTAACCCCTTAGCAGTTACATGGTTTGCAAATGTTGTCTCCCATTCTGTAGGTTGTCTCCTCATTCTGTTGTTTGCTGCACAGAAGCTTTTTAGGTTAATGAAAATCTCTGAGCTACTTAAGGTCAGGGACCATGTAATATTATTCATTTCTGTATTCCCAAGATTCAAAGTACTGGCACTGTCATGCTAAGTAAATGGTTAATGTGTGTAAAGTAAATAAATGAATGTGCAATGTCATTATTATATCATGTGAGAAGCCGTATGTAAGAGGGGAAAACACTTTGCATAAGAAGACTGAGTATGAAACTCCGCTCTGCTTCAGTTGGTTAGCTTGGGAGAGGTCTCTTAACCTCTTGGAATATTCTTATATCTAAAATGGTGATAATATTTCACTAACAGGCTTGTAAGGAATAAATTAAGTGGTGCTCTGAGCACGATGCATTGCACATAACTGTCACTCAATAGAAAGTAATTATTATCCTGGTGCCTGGGTGGCTCAGTCTATTGTGCGCTGGCTCAGGTCATCTCACGGTTCAGGGGTTCCTGCCCCGAGTAGGGCTCTGTGCTGACAGCTCAGAGTCTGGAACTTGCTTTGGATTCTGTGTTTCCCTCCTCTGCCCTTCCTCTGCTCACACTCTGTTCTCTCTTTCTCTCTCTCTCTCTCTCTCTCAAAAATCAATAAACACTAAAAATTCTTTTAAAAGTAATAAAAAAGAAAGTAGTTATTATTAATTATGAGGCAGTTGAATGTCAGAAAAAGTCGCGTAGGGCCAATCAGCTTTTAAATCAAGGTTAGAAGTCAGAGTTTCATGTCCTGTGCTAGCCACTGGAATGAATTAATCATTCGGGATCTCCGTCCTTGAGGAACTCACAAATACGTGAAAGAGACAGTAACAATTAATACATTGTATGGTGGATGAAATAGCAGAAATGTGCGCAAAACACTGGGACAACGCAGAGGTGGCAATGAATTCTGCCTGGAAAAATTGCAGGGAAGGTGACACTTAAGCTGTACTTAGGGCAGAGTCCTGAAGGGATTTCTAGCTACTGAGTCTCAGAAGCTACCGGAACCAAGGTGCTGCGGGGATTGAGTGAATCTCGGTCGGATATTGTTACGGGACACAGGCGAGGCGTTTCGTCAGTGTTTGCAGACGCCGGGGGATCGCTGCAGCTTGGGCGGGTCTTCAGCTTGCACATTACCGGCCGCAGCAGCAAAGGATGAACGCAGCTCTAGGAAAGGTAACGTAGGTTCCAAGCACGCTGGGCGCAGCGAAGGTGGTAGGGAGGCTAGAGCTGGGTGGTGGCCGCCAGGCTACCACCGCCTCTGCAGACATCCGGGTATGAAACACTGGAGAAAACAAGGTTCTCCCGGCAGTATCCGCGGCGCCTTGTGTTCCATCCACTCCTCTCCGGGCGAACTCCGCGGCGATTACCCGTGGGCCACGCCCCCTCCGCTAACCACCCTCGCCGCCCATTGGCCTGGAAACGCAAAAGCCCCACAGTGGAAAAATCTTACAGATTGTCGGAACCGGGATAGGTTCCGACAATCTCTGCGACCTTGAGCAGGTCATCTTATTTTTGTGTTAAGTAATTAATTTCTACAGTGTTTTCTAAGTATGCCGTTTTGACTTGGTGACCTGATTGGGATGTGAGGCTACTTGACGATAAGAAAAGGGCAGTAAACTAAAATATTTCTTACCAAAACCTTATTTAAATGACTTCAGTAAAACCGTCTAAATCATGGTAAAGGCAGTCCTTGGTTTTTCCTTGCCATTTTAACAGATGAACAGATTTCAGTTGTGTTCTTTTAGATATATCGTGCTGCTTAGAATGATGCCTTTCTTTTAGCAATTTAGGTTAAAATTTTATTTTAGACGTTAATTGTAGAGATTAAGTCTCCATGATGAACCAATCAGCATGATCTTTCCTGTTCATGGATCTACCAGTAGTTATCTTAAGGGTGGGACCTGAATGTCATTAGGTTTGTTTCCTTAATGGTGCAAACCTTACAGCTTTGTGAAATAACTCACTGATGTTCACCTCAGCCTAATTGTGAGAATTTGGCCAGGTCTGATGAGAGGATAATAGAAAAAAAATAAGAAAGCTTCAGAATTCCATTATTAAAGATGGTCAGATTGGTGATTCTGTGCTCCTGCTCGATTGCTTTAGATTCTGAAGACTGCAGAAAGGGAGGGATAATTAATTTTTCAAGGAACACTGTTTTCTGCTATTCTGCACTACAGGAGAGCCCATGGAAATCTGTCATTAGGGCATCACCTTAAGATTCAAGGGCAGATAGGACCTCTCCAAGTCTGATGCCACTGTTACCTTGTAGACACCTTTGTTACTGATTTTATTCTTCTGCTGCGTTCTACTGCTTTGGCCGGAGAGTCTCACTTGGAGTGTCCTCACCTTCTCACCATCCATCCAAATGCTCCATCCCTCAGTACCCAGCTCAGGTCTCATCCTTTCCATTAAACCTTTCTGACCACTCTGTCTAAAATGCCTGCAACTAGCCGGTGTTATCTTTTGGCATCTAATCACATGCAGTCTTGTGACCATCTTTGTCTCGGCCTGGACGTGTTAGTTAATACTTTACATTTATAAAGAAAACCCATGAGACTTGCAGTTGACTTGCATTCTATCTATTGCAAGGCATATGACCTGAGGTGGCTTATTTGACCTCTCTGTGCTTCAGTTTCGTATCTGTAGAATGCAGATGATAATGCCCACCACATGGCATTGTTGTAAAGATTATAAAAGATGATATCAATAAGAGTAGTTTGTAAGATGTGAAGGACTATATATGCAGGAATATTGATATTATTCCACAGTTTATATACTGCTTTCATTTGCATAATTTCATTTGATTTTCACAATATTATGAGATAATCTTGGCAGGCACAACAAATGAGGAAATGTCAGCAAGCTACTGGCACAATGTCTGGTACATAATAGTTCTCAAGTATTCTGCTGAATGTCTGAATGAATGAATGCTATTTTTTTATAGGTCAACAGCCATTTAAATGATAGAGCTGAGACCAGAGCCAAGATTTTCTACCTCTGCTAAGAATGGCTTTCCTTTTTTTGAGTATTTCACATCTCCCCAATTTGACAATAATCTTGGTTTTCCTCATCTGTGAAATGAGGAATGAAAACCTTCCTTGACCTTCCCAGTCCTTCTCATCTTTGTGACCTGTACAGCCCATTATACTGCTTTCACATTGCAATGTAATAAATAATTTGCACATCTCCTGTCTTCACTAGAAAGATTCGAGAGTAGTCAACTGTATTTTGTTATGTCTACATGTATCTAGCCTATAGCGTACTTGACCTAAAGTAGCTCTTTATAAATATTGAGTGAATGAGTGACAACAAAAGTGACATTACATGCAAGTAAGTGATAGAGTTGGGACTAGAACTTCAGACTCTTAGCTCAGTGTTCTTTCCTTAGGAGCTCAAGAAGTTTTTAGCTTACAGTCCTCTCACATTTTAGATGAGTGAAAAGCCCTGTTTACTGGAATAAAACTGAGTGGAATCACATACTCTTTGGGTCAGTAGAAGTAGTAAGTAGAAGTAGCATTAAGACCATAATGCTGGTATTCATCAAACCCCAGAAAACATACTGATTGACCAAAATGGCAGGATGATGTGTGTAGAAGTCGGAATGTACCAGGGAATGAGTAATGACTCACCTGCTGAGTTATTTTTACACATAAAATGGATGGTCCTGGAGTATCAAGCTTAGGTCTGAATGTCACTCACCCAGAGATTATTATTCTTCCCTCTAGGATTACCAATCCTCTGTACCACAAAGATGTGGTTAGGCGAGGGGTGGTGATCACAAAAGGCATGCCAGAGGAGCAGCTTTGGGTACTAATCTCATAGTAAGATGTTTTCAAGTGAAAACATTGAAGTCTAACATGGAGTACAGTTTATGTAAACAAATAGCAGTGAGGACTGAAGCAAATGACAAACCAACAGACATGAATGAGAAGGGCATAAGATGTGAAATAGGAGAGCAAAAGTTTCAAGGTGCCTAGAAAGGCAGGGAGTCCTAAAGCCCAGGAAAGTGGTAAAGAAGTTGGCTATTTTCTGGTTACTATTAGACTGTAAGCTCTGCAGGACAGGGATATTTTACTATTTTGTTCATGGTCTTATCCTCAGCACCAGTCATACACTAAGGTACATATTGTTTGATAAATGAGGAGCTGAACAATCACCACCATTATCATCACTGATACCAATTTGATCATTAACAATGTGACTGCACTTGCTAGGTCCTTTTTATATATCATCTAATTTAGTAGTATCAATAACTCTTATTAAATAAATATTTTTATAACCTCTTTAAAGATAAGGAAGTGAGGTTTGGATGGATTTATTAATTTAATCAGCAGATATTTACTGACCACCCACAATGTGCCAGAGAGTATGGTAGATGTTGGGATGTAGCAGTTTCCTTTCTTCATGGAGCTTATATACTTAGCAAAACAGACAGGCTAATGAAACATATAACTACTTAACTAATTGTGATAAATGCCCCAAAAGAAAGATTCTGGGTGCTATGTGAGTGTATAACAGCAGGGTCTAGGCACATCTGAGCAGTAAGGAAAGTTTTCTTGAGGATGAGTAAATCTTGAGTCAATCTTACATGACTAAGATTTAAAGAATGCTAGAATTCAGACAGGGAGAGCATGTGCAAAGGCCCTGAAATGAGAACACACTTGGAGTCCCCGGGGGCCCAGAGGAAATTGGGATGGAGAGAAGCAGTGAGGCTTGAGTCAAAGGAGAGTGTGCAGAGAAATGTAGGAATGAGACTTGGGGAGATGGTAGGAGATTGGACTTAAATTTCAGGTAACCACAGGTATTTTGAAACAGTTTAGCCCTGGAGGAAGTAGGAAATTTGGCTTAATAAAGTTCAACTGTGGCCTAGAGGTACCATCTAGTAGTTAATTATGGTAGAAGGCCAGATATTTCTTTTTTTTTCTTTTAAAAAAATTGAGTTATAATTCATATAATATTCCCCCTTTAAAGATGGGCAATTCAGTGGTGTTAGGTATAGTTACAGAGTTGTGCAGCTATCATCAATATCTAGTTCCAGAATATTTTCTTCACTCCAAGAAGAAACCCTGTATCCTTAAATAGTCATTCCTCATTCACCTCTCTGCCCATCCCCATGTAACCACAAATCTGCTTTCTGTCTGTATGGATTTGTCTGTTCTGGTCATTTCACATAAGTAAATCATAGGTATGCAGGGCTTAATTTTTTTTTTAACATTTATTTGTTTATTTTTGAGAGAGAAAGAGAGAGTGAGCACAAGCAGGGGAGGGGCAGAGAGAGAGGGATACACAGAATCCAAAGCAGGCTCTAGGCTCCAAACTAGCAGCATGGAGCCCTACGCAGGGCTCAAACCCATGAACCATGAGATCATGACCTGAGCTGAAGTTGGACACCCAGATTCCTCAGAGGCCAAGTATTTCTTAAGTGACTTGACAAAGATCAGAGAGCTAGTTATTAAAATGGAAGTTTCGGTATTTAAACCCAGGTTTGTGTGAATCTATAATCTGTGTTCCTACCTGCCATAAAGACTCAGTGCAGAGATGGAGTTGGCAGTCAACATATTAAACATATGAGGCAGAGACTTCGTCAAAGGGAAAACTACAAACAAAAGCAGTTTTGAAAGAATTTAGGGAAAAGTCGACTAGAACACCACTTGCTAGCTGGGTGCTTTAGGCATATGAATTCACCTTTCTGAACTTTGGTTTCTTCACAGTTAAATGGGGGTAGAGATACCTACCTCACAGAATGGTTGTGAGAATTAAGGGAAATGATGTTGGCGTATAGCAAGTGCTCCACGAATGGTGGGATTATTGATGCCATTATTATTAGCATATGAATTTCATACTAATATAAGTTAGCATTACTCTTTTGAGAGGTAGTGTGGTAGAATGGAAGACATGAGCTTTGGATTCAGTCAGACTTGGGTTTGAATTCTTGGTACCTCTTATGAAACCTATAACTTTGGGGAATTTTCCTAAGCCTTTGTTTTTTTCCTCTATAAAATAGAGGCAGTTATCTCAATTATGCCCCTATCGGAGGATTAGTGTAAAGATGAACTGAAATAGTACATGCAAAGGGCTTAGCACAGAGGTTGTACTCAATAAGCAATGTAACTGCTACTTAAATAGTTGTTGATACAGAAATGTATTCTGTTAATATTTATAAAACACCTTTAAGTTGCTTTCATGGGCCTCTGACTCACTGTTGTCACTACTCACCCTGGAGTTCTGGTGTGTAAAGCTACTCATACAGTATAGACTTTGCTCCATGACTTCAGTTCTTTGTAGCTGTGCAGTCCCCTGGTTCTTGGCTCCCGAGCTCATGGCACAAGTATTTTTGTAACCCACTGTAGCAGCTGTGTCCTCATTCATTCATTCATTCATTCAGTAGCGTCACCACCCTCCTCTTCCATTTGCTGCAGAGCTATCGCTGCTTTTCGTTTGCTCACTGTGGGGAGTGGGTATTTGTGGATATAGTCCCAAAATAGATTACTTTTGTTCTGATAAATAATGCCAAGCATTGCAGGGAAGAGGAAGCACATTTCCCAGAGCTGAAAGGGAGAGAGAGTTCACACTACAGTTTGAATGTCTTCCAGAAAGTTGTCAACCGTTAAGCCTATCTTTTAGATAATTAAATCCTTTGCTTTTGTAGGGACTCAGAAATCTGAATGATTAAAGTGAGGAAAAATCAGTGTCCTCTAGATCTTTCTTCCCATCCAATTCTTCTGTATGAAGTAACCCCCTTGAGAATATATTCTGTTCACTCATTTCTATTCTGTTTGTCATGGTTTATAGGCCTTGGGTCTGAAGGAACTTAGCCTCATCTGCTCTAACTCCAGAGAGGGGAAGTACTGGCCAAGGTGTGATGGCTGGTGGCTAGAGCCCCTGTCTCCCGAGGCTCCCTGTTGCCTACCTACTTTTTATGCTGGCTAATATTAGGTTAAGCATATTTGTACACACAATTACGAAGCATTTTAGAATCTGACTTAATTGCAGGGTATTTTTTTTAAATGTTTTTTATTTCTGAGAGAGAGAAACAGCGGGAGCAGGGGAGGGTCAAAGAGAAAGGGAGACACAGAATCCGAAACAGTCTCCAGGCTCTGAGCTAGCTGTCAGCACAGATCCCGATGCGGTGCTCAAACCCATGAACCGTGAGATCATGACCTGAGCCAAGGTTGGACACTTAACTGACTGAGCCACCCAGGTGCCCCTTAATTGCAGTTTTAAGGATCGTCTATGCATTTTGCCCTTCCTTCCATCTATTCATATCCTTTCCAGTCTTCATGATCTCACGTTCTCTGAGAGACTTTTCCTAAATTTGATCACCCTCTAGCCCAATTTCTTAAGTATTAACACATATGAGAGAGGGTATTGAGTGGTGGGAAAATTATGGACTTTAGAGTCAAAGAATTCTAAGATCGTATGCTAGTTCTGATAGTGGCTGTTTGACTTTGGGTAAGTTACTTAATTTCCATTTCTTCAACTGTAAAATGAGGTAATAATACTTATTTAGATGCATGGTAGGTACTCAACAAAATAGATGGGGGTGCTTAATAAATGAGTGATAAAATTAATTATCACTCATTCACTTTCTAACCATTTATTTTTTCACAAAAACAAACCTTGACTGAATGTCTGCAACATACCTGAGAAGAATACAACATGACCCTTGCCCCTGAGAAGGTCTTAGTTTAGCATAGTGGTGTATGGGTGATATGAAGAGTTTCAGTGAATCTCCTGAAGTATATATAAACTTTTATATATCCATGCCTATATGTATTTGTCTGGGGAGAATGTTCATGACTTTGAGCAGATTCTCAATGTCTGTAATACCCCAAATGCTAAGAACCTCTCCTGGCCATCTCCACCTGAATTTCCTGCCAGAGGTGCTTGTTATTCATACCACCTATTTTAAATTAAATCATATAATGCTTGCGGTATATTGCTTAGCTGTTTATTTTTATTTTATATTTTGAGCTTTATTTTTGAGAGAGAGAGAGAGAGAGAGAGAGAGAGAGTACAAGTGGGGGAGGGGCAGAGAGAAAGGAGGACAGGATCACAAGTGAGCTCTGTGCTGACTACTACGACCTGGATGCCAGGCTTTAAAGTCACGAACCATGAGGGGGTGCCTGGGTGGCTCAGTAGGTTAAGTGTCCGATATCAGCTCAGGTCATGATCTCACGGTTCATGGGTTCGAGCCTTGCATCTGGCTCTGTACTGACAGCTAGCTCAGAGCCTGGACCCTGTCTTTGGATTCTGTGTCTCCCTCTCTCTCTCTGACCCTCCCCTGCTCATACTGTCTCTATCTTTCTCTCTGAAAAATAAATAAAACATTTTTCTTTTAAATTAAACAAAAACAAAGTCATGAACCATGAGATCCTGTCCTGAGTCCAAGTCAGACGCTCAACCAACTGAGCCACCCAGGTGCCTCACTTAGCTGTTTAAATACAGATGTATGTCTGGATCTCCAGCCATTCGAACTCCTACAGGACCGGGATTGTGCTTACGGTTTTTTAGCAGCTTTATTGAGATATAATTCATATACCATACAATTCACCTATTTAAAGTGTACAATTCAATGGCTTTTAATATATTCAGACTATGGGGTGCCTGGATGGCTCAGCCAGTAGAGCATGGAAGAACATGCAACACTTGATCTCAGGGTCATGTGTTCCGAGCCTCATGCTAGGTTTAGAGATTACATTAAAACACACACACACACACACACACACACACACATTGAGAGTGTGCATCCATCACTACAATCTATTTTAGAACATTTTTGTCACCCCAAAAAGAAACCCCTATCCCTTAGGTGTCATCCTTACCACCTCAGACTCTAGCTGTAGGCAACCACTAATCTACTCTCTTTCTAAAGTTTTTTAATGTTTATTTTTGAGAGAGACAGACAGAGCGTGAGTGGTGGAGGGGCAGAGAGAGAGATGGAGACACAGAATCTGAAGCAGGCTCCAGGCTCTGAGGTGTCAGCACAGAGCCTGACATGGGGCTCAAACCCACAAACTGTAAGATCATGGCCTGAGCCGAAGTCAGGTGCTTAACCGACTGAGCCACCCAGGTGCCCCACTACTTTCTTTCTTAGTAGGTTTGCCTGTTCTGAGTATTTCATATAAACGGAGTCATACAATATTTGGCTCTTTGTGACTGACTTCTTTCACTTTGTGTAATAATTTCAAAGTTTGTGTATGTTGTTACATTTTGTTTTTATGTTCCCTTCAATATTCAGCACAGTAGGTGGCATATAATAGCCTTAAAATTTTTTTAAATGTTTTTATTTATTTCTGAGAGAGAGAGAGACAGTGTGAGCAGGGGAGGGTCAGAGAGAGTGCTAGCTGTCAGCACAGAGCCCGATGTGGGGCTCGAACCCACGAACCATGAGATCATGACCTGAGCTGAAGTTGGACGCTTAACCGACTGAGCCACCCAGGCGCCCCTATGATAGCCTTTTAAAAAAACAAAATTAGTTTTATTTATTTAAAAAACCCTCTTTTGTTGTTTATTTATTTATTTTGAGAAAGAGAGAGAGTGTGTGAGCAAGGGAGGGACAGAGAGAGAGGGAGAGAGAGAATCCCAAGCAGGCTCTGTGCTGGCAGCACAGAACTTGACGCTGGGCTCAATCTCACGAGCCATGAGATCATAACCTGAGCTGAGATCAAGGGTCAAAAGCTTAACCAACTGAGCTGCCAGGCACCCCAAAATAAAATTTATTTTAGAATAGTTTTAGAACTACAGAAAAGTTGCAAAGATAGTACAGAGAATTTCCACATACTTCATGTTCAGTTTTCCCTTTTAATATCTTACATTAGTATGGTATACTTTTCATAATTAATGAACTGATATTGATACGTCATTATTAATTAAAGCCCATACTTTATTCCTATTTCTTTCATCTTTTTAATCTAATGTTATTTTTCCATTCCAGGATTTCATCCACGATATTATATTACATTTAGTCATTACATTTAGTCATCATGTCTCCTTAGGCTTCTCTTATCTATGATGTTTCTCAGAATTTCTTTGTGTAATAGGTTTTTAACATGTACACGTTGAAGGGATTTAAACGTGTCCGTGTCCTAGAGGACAGGACTGTCTCTTTATGTTATGGGGCCTTAGGACACTTAGTATTTATTATCTAGTTACTTTATAAAAAGACCTCTATGTTAAACACTCCCTTACTAAAGTAACACCACTGATCTTTCAAGTGGAAACCAGTAGGACAGAGTGGGGTTGAAATAACTGGGGAGGATGGAAACTCAGGGAAGTTGCCACTGCTACAGCCTCCTGTCTTTATTATTGTTTTGTTGATATTGGTATCATTATCATCATTGAGACAGTGCCTTGTAACAGAGGCATAGCCTTTGGAGTAAAACAGTCCTATTAGGCCCTTATTAGCTATCATTTCTTAGAATATAAACCCTGTGGGCCTTTGCCTTGCAGTGTTTTGGAAATTAGGGAAGAGTTAAGAAAGTCCGTTGCAGGGTGTCTGTGCTTGGCAGATGTATAATTGTTGACTGATATTAGAAAAAAACAGACCAAATTGGAAAGGGAAAATAAGATAAAAAACAAAAAAAAAAGCAGCATGGAAGTGGAAGTTCTGTTTGTTTTGTTTTGTTGTTGTTGTTTTTAGCATTTTTCTATAGTGGGTGGAATAATGAAGAAGATAACTTTGGTTTGCCTACATATTTGGTGTTAACTGAAGGACATCCTCTTTGCTAGATAAGAGCCTTTGGGTTCTTTTTGGTTTGTGTACTTTGAGTTTCTAACCTCTTTTTGAAGAGGTGCTTGGAAGGCTCTGAATAGTTAAGATTGTCCTAATATGGCTATTTTGTTGTAGGTGCTGTGTCCAAGGAATGATTCCATTTTTAAGCAAGCCTTTTCTCTCTTAAGGTAAGAATGTTGATAACAGTGATTAAATATAGCCAATATTTGCACTCTGCTGGGTAGTTCACCCGGCATTTGTCTTTCATCATCTCCACCTGCATGTTTACTAAACATCTCAAGTATTAACTCCCTGGCCATCTTGCTCTTTCCCCATCCTCAGTAAATGACAACCTGATTTATCTAGGTGCCCAGGCCAAAGTCCTTGGAGTCATCCTTGACACTTATTTCTCTCACTGTACATCCAATTCCTTAACAAATCCAGGTCTACTTATGAAATATATACAAAAGCAAACCATTTCTCACCTCCAGTTTCAGGTCTCATGCTTTCTGTTTTGCTAAACTGCTAGGGACCAATTCCTTCTAATCTTTATTACCATCATCCTGTGTCCTAACTGATCCTCCTTCTTTTTGCTTTTAGCCTGAAGGATAGAAGACAAAAACTTAGTTTATATTTGAGAAAACTTAGTTTTGTCTTCTGTCCTTCACACTAAGATTGGAGTGATGCTTTTTATTAATTAATTTATTTAATTTTTTAAATTTATTTTGAGAGAGAAGAAGAGAGAGAGAGAATGTGCATGCACACGAGTTGGAGAGGGGGAGAGAGAGAAAGGCAGAGAGAATTCCAAGCAGGCTCTGTGTTGTCAGTGCAGAGCCTGACCTGGGGCTCGAACTCATGACCTGTGAAATCATGACCTGAGCCAAAACCAAGAGTTGGAGGCTTAACCAACTGAGCCACCCAGGTGCTCACAGCGTGGCTCTTTTTAAAATCAAGTTTATCTCTCAGAACTCTCCCAATGGTATCTCACCTTACTCAAAATAAAACCTACACTCCTCACCATATCCTACAATGCTTTATATAATCTGTTCCCTCATCTGTATGCTACTGGTTATTCAGTTTTAGTCATACTGGCAGCTCCCTTTCTAGTCCTTGATGATCTAAGCACTCTCCTACCCCAGGATCTTTGCCCATTCTTCCCTTAGATCTCCATATGGCTTGATCCCCTTACTTTATTCAGGTTTGTGCCCAAATCATCTTATCAGAGAGGTCAACAATGACTACTCTATGTAAAATAGCTCCCTTCACTCCAGACTTTATTTCTTTACCTTGCTTTGTTTTTCTTCATTGCAGGTATCCCCACCTGACATATTGTATATATATGTATGTGTACAGATATTTAAATTGTCTTCCCTGCCCCCTTGAATATAAGCATCATATAGATAAAGATTTTGTTAGTCTTGTTTCCTGTTGTCTTGAACAGGATTTTGTTGTCTTGTTCCTTGGAGCCTAGAATGGTGTCTGGCACATAGTAGGCATTTAATAAATATTTGTTTAATGAATGAATAGATCCTTATAGTGATCTCATGAAACAGGTCATATTATCTTAATTTTATACATAAATAACATAGGTCCAGAGAGGTAAATTAATTGCCCTAAGATGACATAGCTAAAATGAGTTGGAGTTAGGATTCAAACCCAAGTTCTTTTTTCACTGCCTTGCATATATAGTTTGTTACCCTCCATCTTCTCTAGATGGTAATGAATGGCATTTGGTAGTTTATTTCTCTATTTAGTAGAGATGTTCACTGAGTGTTTCGTGTGTGGCGGCCATACGATATAAAACAGTGAATTGTATATCTCCCCAGACCACATGACATTCGTGAGCCTGAATGATTTCTTTACTCCTTTACATTTATTGAAGCCTCTCTCTTATTATTCTTTCCATCTTAATCTATTTTTCCAGCATTAATCAGTCAACACTTCAATAAGTACTTACTTAGTATAGAATCATTTTACATGCTCTCTCTAATCTTCGTAAAAACACTACAGGACAAATATAAGTATTGTCATTTTACAAAAGAGGAAACTGGCTCAGAGGGTTTAAGATAGATTTTCAGTCTCATGAGATTATACTATTATTATCTGCATTTTAAAGATGAGATAACTGAGTTACAGAGATATAAAAGAACTTGCTGAAGGTCACAGTTTGGACATGGTGGAGTCAGCATTTAATCACAGATCTGTTTGTCTCCAACTTGTTCCGCAATTTAGTTTCAAAACTTTGCAGAATGCTGAACTAAAATACTCTGATAACCTACTGAACTGATAGAGCTGTGTTATTCTCTTCCATGTTCTTTGGCTTCTGTATTCAGTCTGGCTGTCATTGCTGTCCTTTCTCTCCACCCTCCCTGAACATGTTCTAATAATGCAAGGCTACTGCAAGAACCACATCACTGGTTCCCTTGCCTCAGTCCACCTCTTCCCATTCACTGCTCACCTGCTGCCAGGGTTAACTTTCCAAAGCTTAAAAACTTGATCATGTCACTCCTGTGCTTAAACTCTGCTAGGAGCTTCCCACTGCCTACACAGAGTAAAGACCAAACTCCTTAGCACAGTGTATGAGGTTCTTCCTTAACCTGGCCCACGAGAACCTCTTTGACCAACTCTCCCTTTCCCTGCTGCTTAAGTTCCATCCACATCCAGCTGCTTGCTGTTCCCCAAATATACCACTTTCCTACCTCTGCCTAGAAAGCTTTTCCCTAAGGCTAAGTAGTCGAGAACAGTTCTTCATTTTTAAAACTCCAGTCAAACGGTTTTACCCCGCTAGTGGAATGACCACATTTTCCTTCGTGTTCCACCAAATCTTGTATAAGTTTTCATTCTGGATCGGCACTATATTGTGGCTCACATTCGTTTACATGTCTCTCTCCCAACTAGACTATAGAGAGAGACGTTTGACTTATTTTTTATAAGTAAAATAATACTTTTATTTTATAAAAGTAATTATGTGTCAGGGTGTCTGGCACATAATAGGCACTTAGTAATGTTTGTGGAAAGACAGGAAGGAGGGAACGAGGGAATTTCTAGCATTGACTTATCCTTAATGAGCAGCATACAGGTTTTGGTAACGTGTTGATTAAATGCGAGAATCTAATTTTATTCAACATACTCTTTCCCCCTTTTTAGGTTCAGAACTTCAGGAGGAAATCCCATCTGTTCTGCAGGTATGTGGTTATTTCCTGATATTGTCTGCCTGCTTTAAGTGACCCTCTAATGCTCTATAATAATTTTGTCTAGAAAGATTTCTGACATAGCTTTGAGAAGAGTGGCTGGGACAACATTCCACCCTCACATGGAATTGGACAATGGACAAGAATCTAAAGTAGTGGTTAAGAGCAAGGGCTCTTTAGTAAGTTTGGATTCCAGCTCTTACCACATACTTGCTCTGCAACCTTTGACTACCTCTCTATAGCTTGCTTTCCTCACTTAAAACAATGAGGGTAATTATAGTACAAGGTACAGTGAATTATCTGAGGATTCAGTGAAATAAAATACATAAAATTAGTTATTCTAATTGTAATTGCTACTATTTCAGACCTATCTTTCATGTCTATCATCTATCTACTAGGCAAGGGCTTTTCTTACAGTATTTTGTCCAAAATAAATGTCCATTGAATCTGACTAACTCAATGAATTTCAATGTTTCATTGCAATTTCTTGCCCTTTTTGCTTTGTCTATTATGTGAGAAATTTCAAAGTAGTTGTTTGATTTTAATCAATGACATCTGTCATTTGCCTAAAGAGTATTAGAGGGAAAGGAAAGGGAGAAAAGAAGGGAACTAATGTTTACTGAGCACGTCACATATGTCAGGCAGTATGTAAAAAGGTTTTACATCTGTTATTTTTTTTTCAGAAGATGGCAGCGGTATGTAGAGCATCACCATTTCTGCCAGCCCCACTACCCAGCATCTCAAAATATGGGCTTATTTTTATTTATTCATTCTCTCAGCAAACACTTATGGTACCAGGATGTGTTTCAGGTGCTGGGATACAACATTGAGAGGATACAGGCCTTGCCATTTGGAAACTTACAGTCTTGAAAGAATTTTTTCTCCAAGAACACTACAGTGAAGACTTTTCTACCCACCACTTATTTATATTTTTTTGTTATTATTCATTTCTTGAGAGAGAGAAAGAGAGTGTGAACAGGAGAGGGGGAGAGAGAGAGGGGGAGACACAGAATCTGAAGCAGGCTCTATGCTCTGAGCTGTCAGCACAGATCCTGATGTGGGGCTCAAACCTATGAACTGTGAGATCATGATCTGAGCCGAAGTTGGGCGCTTAACCGACTGAGCCCCCCAGGTACCTCTGTACCCACCGTTTAGATTCATTTGTTGTTAACATTTTGCTTTCTCTATCAGGCATCATGATACTTTCCCCTTAAATACCTCAGCATTTCTAGAAATAAGGACATTCTCTATATTCTGTTAAAGAACCACAATACTATCATCTCACTCAAGAAAATTAATAGTAATGCTCCCATATCATCTTAATACTCTATTCATTTCCATAATTACCCTCAAAATGTCTTTTGTGGGCATTGTTTATTACCAGAAGCCTATGAAGTTTCCTACTTTGTATTTCACTGTTGTGTCACTTTTAATCTAGAGCAGTTCTACTTTTTTTATTTCCCCCTAATAGTTATGTTTTTAAAAAAATATAATTTACTGTCAAGTTAGCTAACAGTGTGCTCTTGGCTTCGGGAGTAGATTCCCATGATTCATCACTTACATAACAGTAACTTTTTGATTAGGTCAGACCATTTGTCTTTTTTTTTTTTTTTTTTAATGTTTTATTTATTTCTAGGAGAGAGAGAGAGACAGCATGAGCAGGGGAGGGTCAGAGAGAGAGGGAGTCACAGACTGAAACAGGCTCCAGGCTCTGAGCTGGCAGTCAGCACAGAGCCTGACGCGGGGCTCGAACCCACGAACCGTGAGATCATGACCTAAGCGAAAGTCGGACGCTTAACCGACTAAGCCACCCAGGCGCCCCAGGTCAGACCATTTGTCTTATAGAGTGTCCTCCCTTCTTGATTGGTCTGATTATTTCCTTTTGGTGTTGTAGAACGTGTTCTTCTGTCTCCTTCCTACAACCTGGAAGTTAGATCTAAAAGCTTGACTAATTTATGGTAAACCATTTAAGCAAGAAAATTTTATAACAAATGTGCTGAACTTCATTTTTAAAAAATGTTTATTTTTGAGAGGGAGAGAGTACATATGGGGGAGGGTAGAGAGAGAGGGAGACAGAGGATATGAGGCAGGTTCCTTGCTGACAGCACAGAGCCAGATGTAGGACTTGAACTCACAAACCAACCATGAGATCATGACTTGAGCCCAGGTTGGACGCTTAACCTATTGAGCCACCTAGGCGCCCTGATGCCCTGAACTTCATATGGCATCCTATAAGGAGATTTAAAAAAATAACCAAGAATATCTAATTATAAAACTGAAAAACATTCATTTAAAGAATATGGAAAATTGGGGCGCCTGGGTGGCTTAGTCGGTTAAGCGTCCGACTTTCGCTTAGGTCATGATCTCGCTGTTCGTGGGTTCGAGCCCCACGTCGGTCTCTGTGCTGATAGCCAGCTCAGAGCCTGGAGCCTATTTCACAGTCTGTGACTCCCTCTCTCTCTGACCCTCCCCTGCTCACGCTGTCTCTCTCTCTCTCTCCTAGAAATAAATAAAAATATTAAAAAAAAAAAAGAATATGGGAAATAAACACATACATACACACAAGAAGAAGCTGAAGTAGACAGAAAATAAAATCATACTATCCAGAGATTATTGTTTAACATTTTGTTAAGTTTCCTAACAGGTCTTTTTCTAGGCATTAAACTGCTCTTTCCAGAGATAGATAGATAAATAGGTAGATAGAAAGATAATTTTGTTTATTTTGTAGTGATGGGAACAAATGATATGTTTTATAATCTTTTTACTTAATCCATGGTGAATACGTTTCTACTACATTGATGATATAAATAGAATTATTTTGAATGTACTGCCTTATATGGAACAGTTTGAAGGGGAAGATTTTGTTTTTTAATGAAAAAAAATTTTTTTAATGTTTATTGATGAAAGAGAGAGACAGAGCATGAGCAGGAGAGGGGCAGAAAGAGGAAGGAGACACTGAATCGGAAGCAGCCTCCAGGCTCTGGCTGTCAGCACAGAGCCTGACGCAGAGCTCAAACTCATGAGCGGTGAGATTATGACCTGAGCTAAAGTTAGCCTCTTAACCAACCAAGCCACCTGGGTGCCCCCCCCCCTTTTTTTAATGTTTATTTATTTAAATGTTTTTATTTATTTATTTATTTTTTTTTTGAGAGAGAGAGACAGCGGAGCAGGGGAGTGTCCGAGAGAGAGGGAGACACAGAATGCAAAGCAGGCCCCAGGCTCTGAGCTAGCTGTCAGCACAGAGCCTGACACGGGGCTCGAACCCACGAACTGTGAGATGATGACGTGAGCTGAAGCCAGACCCTTAACCGACTGAGCCACCCAGGCACCCTAATGTTTATTTACTTTTGAGGGAGAGACAGTTTGAGTGTGGGAGGGGCAGAGAGGGAGGGAGACACAGAATCTGAAGCAGGCTTCAAACTCTGAGTGGTCAGCACAGAGCCTGGATGCAGGGCTTGAACCTACAAACAGCAAGATCATGACCTGAGTCAAAGTCAGGACGCTCAACTGACTGAGCCACCCAGGTGCCTAAAGGGGAGGATTTTGAGTCTGGTTTTGAACACATTGCATTTGAGTGCTTATGGGGAGGATATATTAAGTAGGCCGTTGGATACACTGATACTGAATTCAAAATATAGGTCTGGCTTACTGTACATTTGGAAGCTATCATGTTGTCAATGTTAATTGAAGTCGTGACAATGAATGGGATCATGTGAGGAGAACAAGTAGAGAAGAGGCCCAAGGATCAGACCGTTAGGAACTCCAACATTTAAAAACTGGGTAGAGGGTGAAAGAGATGGCTAATGAGGTTGAAAAAAGGAGGCCAAAATGGTAGGAGAAAACCAGCATAGTATAATTTCATGTCAGACATAAGGAGAGTGTTTCAAGAAGGAAAGAGTGGTCAACTGTGTTGGAGGTGGAACTGTGTGCTAGTGAGAGATCATGAAAGATAAGACCCTAACATTCTTTGTCTTTAGCAACTTGGAGGTCACTGGTGATTTTAGGAAAGCTCTGTGTTGTTTAGGTGGGGTGGGGCTTCTTGTGGAAGTCAACTGTGAGTTGAGGAGTGAATGGGATTAGGAGAGCTAGAGAAAGGTGTTACAATGTTTTTATGACCTTTGAGCAGAGAATTGGAAGTGGAGAGGAATGTGGGGTCCAGGAAAGGTGTTTTTGTTTTGTTTTGTTTTGTTTTTCTCTCTTACACTTTTTATTTTGAAAGATTAAAAAACACGGAAGAGGGGGAAAAAAGATAATATATCACATAAACCCAGATTGGGCAACTACTACCATTTTGCTAGCTATTAATTTTATTTTGTTTCTTTTTGTTTTATAAAGAGATTATGATCAAGTACACTTATTCCCTAGCTTTGGTCTCTTCCCTTACCCCTCAATTAGAGGCAGAATTCATTTTGAACTTGTATGTGTTCTGAGTACAATTTTTTAAAATTACAATTAAAATCATTAACTGTTAAGAATTATAAATCTACAGGGGCGCCTGGGTGGCTTAGTCGGTTAAGCGTCCGACTTTCGCTTAGGTCATGATCTCGCGGTTCGTGGGTTCGAGCCCCGCGTCGGGCTCTGTGCTGACTGCCAGCTCAGAGCCTGGAGCCTGTTTCAGAGTCTGTATCTCCCTCTCTCTCTGACCCTCCCCTGCTAACACTGTCTCTCTCTCTCTCTCTCCTAGGAAATAAATAAAAAATATTAAAAAAAAAAAAAAAAAGAATTATAAATCTACTTAAATGGATACATAGGATAAAAGTAAACATAAGGTATACAAAAAGGTATAAGATGAAAAGTTGAATTTTCTCTTTCCTATCTTACTCCCCAGTGATATCTACTGATGGCAATTTCTTATATAGTTTTCAAGAAGTTTTATGCATATGTGAACATATATATTTTGCGTGCATACAACTGTATCTAAATGCTGGACATTTAGGTTGTTCTTAGTTTTTCCTATTTCAAAAAAGTGCTGCAGCTACAATGTTTATACTTCT